GGGGGCGGTGGCAGGGCAGGGGCGGGAGTTGGGGCGGTGGGCAGAGGGAACCTAAAATTCACTGCTGTATTTTCAAGGAAATTAGACTGTAAAAACTAACCTGTCCTGACCCCGAGATATATATTCCCCGTCAAAGTTCCTTAAATTATGCACAATGCAATTTCTTGGCTGGTATACTATAACAAAAGACCTAAATAGAAAGTGTCTATTAGGTGAAACATTTAAAAGGTAAATAATCATAAAGAATACCTGAAATAAAGCTGCACTGGGAATCACAATCAGTAGCTGATATTGATATGCCTTACTGCTGGGATTAGGGTACTTCCAGCGAAATATGGAAGAAAGAGAAACAACTTCTAAATAAATAATAATCAAAAGGGCTTGGTGACCAACTGGAAGATGGTATTGAAAGAAACAGGACAATAAGGTTTCAGATCTTGGCTAGGGGCAGGGGCACAGTCTTATTTCTAAGGTAATGAAAATTCATCATTAGTGACCAATATGTGAAAAATGAATTTGATTTAGATAGTTTAGGTGGGTCACTGTATCATGTGGGTATATGTAAGTTTCATACAAGTCCAACAAACTAGTCCTGCCTAATTTATAAGAGAAGTCAAGAAATTTACACTCCAAAGGGACACAGTGATATTTCCTTCTGGCGTGGAAATGGGCTGGTTTTTATTTTCAAATTTCACTAAAATGATACTTTTAGTACTTGTTTTGACCTAAATACATTTCGATGAGTGTTAATTCTTTAAAATCTAGAAATCTGGTTATAGTGTACTAATTAAGCAATAGAATTTCTTGAACATCTACTAAAGAAATCGTCATTATAAGTAAACATGATCTAAAAGATGCTTTCTATAATTCAGTCACTGGCATTTATTTAATAACCTGAACCATTTTAGAGATTAATTCATTTATCTTAACCTAAGATATGCAGTCTCTGCCTTCCACAGTACTTGTCACCTATAACCAAACCAATGGATGTCCAATGAATTACCTAAAGCTCCACATAATACGCAATCATTACACCACAGACCTTTGCTTTCTACACATTTTTTTCATCTCCTCATGCTTTTTTCTGTAATAAAGTCTTCTAGATCTATTTGACTCTATACATGTGAATATATAACAGATCAAAGGAAGGAGGAGGAAGGGAATGACACATTTTAGATCATTATATGAGCATACTGTGTGAACATCCTTAATACAAAGAAACGTACATAGGAAAAAACTGTAATCTCAGTACATCAAAAATGTAAATGTCTCAAAACATCTTCTAATATTTTAAAAATCTAATAAAAGTGAAACTTTATAAAAGCCATCAAAAGCACTAATGAAATAATGCGAAATCAAGAACAACATGGCTTATGATGACAATAGCATATCACAATCAAATACTTCTAAAAAAAAGGATTAACCAACCTTACCACTGAATTGATAACCAGATAAACCAGTTCTAAGGAACTGATTAAAACAAAAAAAGGGCTAATTAGCCAGGACTAACCATTTAAGTAGGTAAGAAACAGGAATCTAACTTTGAATTTCTTTAAACTGAATAACAAATAAGCTAAGACACACTAAACTGGCACCACGAGAGAGTTTTAAAAAATTAAAATAAGGAATAAAAGAAAATATAAATCCAGAGCATGCAGTTTTTCAACCATCATCATTCAACTATTCTATTTATCAGCTAATGATCCATTCTGTTTGCAGCATTGTCATCTATTGTATAAAGGAAATTAAATGTGTTCCAAAAAAGTTTTATATTAAATGGAAATGAAAAAAGTCCTAGAACAGGATTTACTGAGATAAAAAAAAAAAATTCATATTTTCATAGAAAAGCCCCAAAGCAAAAGTGTGAACAGATGATTAATCTGATATAGTATTAATTTTAATAAAAACTCTTTAAGAGAACAAATAACCTGATATAGTATTAACTTGAATAGACTCGCTTAAGAAAATTATCTTACTAACTCTCCAAAATATTGTGTACAATATATTCATATTTTGCAACAAATATATTAAGGAGAAATGCTAGCTTTCAAATTTTAGATTTACAAATAGATATGCTCTAAGACTAGGGAACATTCAATTTTTGTTCATATCAAAATCTGGATTAAAATTACATTTAGAGATTGGCTACCAAATAAAGATTTTTTAATGATAAAGCTTTAGAATCAGATATCAGGAGTTCTAGATTCTACTTCTTATTTGCCACTCATCATGAAGTCTTTGACCATATCATCTCACTTCTGAGGCTTAGTTTTCTCATCAAGAGCTATTTGTAAAGTTAATTTTGAATCATTTTTAAGTCAAAGAAATCAAATTATAAAGAGCAGGGGTCTTAGAGATAAAAATTAAGTCATCTCTTTTGGTTACTTTAATTTCATGTATTTCTCTATTTCACCAAATTTCACCTATTTCTCAATTCTGAAATAAAACTGTACTTCCATTAATAACAACAGTAACAGAAAATAATAATTGGAAGAACACTGAACTTACAATCAGAAGAACGGTATTCAGGTCCTGACTCTTTTATGCAATCTTGAAAAAGTTACCCCTCTGGGTCTCAGCTTCCCCATCTGTAAAAGGTGAACAATAACACTCTCTTTACATAAAGCTGTCATAAAGATTGAGAGAAACCATATATGTAATGTAAAGATTGAGAGAAACCATATATGTAATACCTAGCACACGGCAGATGCTCAGTAAATATTAATTGAAAAAAAAACAGATCTTACTACCTCTTCACATTCTGCTTCCATGGCTACTGGTTTCTTCCAGCATTGTCACTTAATATTTAATAAAGTTACACGTTTAAGCAGCTTAATATCTTTCATTGATTTTCTGCCACGATATTAAAGTACTACTGTATATGCCTGTCAAACACAATTCTATCATCTGCAAATATGACAATTTGGTTCTATCTATATGACTTTATCAGAAATAATACTACAAACTCCCATCCCAATACTAAAAGAGCTTTCAAATTAAATTCTGATCTCATAATAACAATAATTAGTATACATTTTGGAGATTTCCCAAGTTTCCATTTTGTGCCTATACCATGGTATTACAAAGGTAGATAAAACAGACAAAATTCAGCTATCCAGTGGGGCTTATATACATACATGCAAACAATTACCACAGAGTGTGATATAGGAGAAATCTTAAGACCATAAATCATAAAGGCAGACACAAAAGATGGACATCCTAATCTAGACCTCAACGGGTCCGGGAAGGATTCTTAGAAGAAATGATGAGTGAGAATGAATAGGAATTAACTAAGGAAGAGGCACAAGGAATCACATGTTCTAGGTCCCACAGGTAAGAGATCTCGGTTCTTTCCGGACAGTGAAACTAGGACTGGCATTCAGAGCACAAAGGCAGGATGAAGAGACAAGAGCCAGCAGATCAACATGCACCAAATCCGAAAGGGCTTGGTAAGCCGTCTTGAGAAATTTAGAGTTTAACCTGACAGCAATGGGAAACAGGCCAAGTGTTTTAAATCTATTACTTCCCAAACAGTGATAAGGAAAGAGGGAGGACAGAAGAAAGTGAGAACATAAATGAGGCAAAAGAGGAACAGAGGCATAATCTGGTCTCAGAGAAATTATAACTCCAAAAATATGTTCATAAAGCAGTACCAGAGAACTCAAGAAAGTGTTCCACATGAACAGCAAAAATTCAATCACTTTTTGCCTGTATCAGTAAGTCGAGTCATTGTAAAGGTTGATGAAACATGGAACCACTTCCTGCTGTTTTGCTTTTACTATATTTAAGCAGTTGTAAAATAAAGGCTTTTGTAATTGACAAAAAATAATATGGCTTCCAAATCTAGGAATGGAGAGAAACATAGCTCGTTACCATCTTACAGATCTTCATTTTGGTGGATATTCAGATCCATCAGAAACTCTCTCAAGATCACACTGCAAACTGATCTCGGAGCTCAGAGGCACACATAGCCCTCCTGGTTTCTAATGAAATAAATACTCTTCACCATTACATATTGTCTTCACTTACCAGAAAACTTCATTTTCCACTTAGTCTGGTTTATCAAGATTTTACTAAAACATATCATTCAGAGGAAAATAGAAGTATAGTATAGATGGATAAAATGGTATGATGTCTGGGCTCAGTGGCACTTGGGGGAATGTAGGTAAGAGGTATTGGAAGGGATGAAGATAAAACAAGATCAGGGTGATGAGTGGTATGTGTCCAGATCCTCCTCAGGAAAAAAGGACTTATTGCCCAGCTGCTGAGAGTGCTGGGTCCTCAGCCCCAGCCAAAGGTAGATGCCTTGTCCAAGCTCTTGCTGCCTGCCAGTGGGACAGCCCACATCCAATGACTAATCAATCTGAGGATATAAAAGCCTTATCAATTCAGGATAAGCTCTGAAAGATCATTCCATCCTCAGAACTCCCCTGGGTCAGCTGAGATTCCACTGAGACTTATCACAGCCCAACTTCTCTTTCTGGTCAAACCTGCCCTTCCCTTCCCTGGCTGTCTATACTAAGAGCACTTCCTAATTAACCTGAATGCGAATCTCCCTCTCAGAGTCTGCTCACCAGGGAACCCAAACTGTAAAAGTAAGTGCTGAAGCTCTTTTTAGTACAAGAGTGTTCATTACATTTTTTCCTTCTATTTTTATGTTTGTAAATCTCTCTAATTCCTAAAGTGTACATGGAAAGAACTTTATGTTCATCAATCAGGGATTAGTTAAATAAATCATGACAGAGCTTTACAATGGAACACTGCAGTATGATACAAAATAATCTCCAGTGGGAGAGAAAGGTGCATTACACCAATACAGTATGTAAAATACGCTTCCATTTTGGATTTTAAAAGGGGGATCGATCTATCTATCTATCTACCTACCTACCTACCTATTGATAGATAAATAGACATAGATATGTATCTATCTTATATACGCATGTATACACACGTCTATACATACATAGGAATTAACCAAGGAAGAGGTGCAGGGAATCACATAGAACTGCCAGAATAATTCTGTAATACCAAATCCCCAAAACAACAACAAAAACCAGTAATGATGACTATGAGACTGGATTGAGCAGGAATCCTAATTCTCAGGGGAAATCCTTTGGTCTTAAGGTTTTCCCCTACCTTTGGGTATTTCACTGTATTCAAAAAGACAGTTTAATAAATAAAGGAATAAAATGGTCCTGATTCACCATAACACAACATGAAGTTTTTAAGAAAACGTTTAACAAGAATCTTTAACCTATAATCTTTTCAAATGCTAGTTCCTCTCTGCTCTGAGTGCCCTGTCCCAAACCCCATGACTCACTACTCCTGCAACCACGTTTTCACTACATTTTCTATATACTGGTGCATCACACTCATCGTTTTGTGGGTAGTTATTTGCTTAGAAAGTCATCTGTTCCACTAAAACCTGTTCCTCAAGGGTAAAACCAGATAGATCATCTAAGTACGCCCATCACCATTATTTAGTCATTATCAAGCAAACTACATTCTCCCGGGTTTTGAGGTGGTTTACCAGCACCTAAAATAATTATTGACTTTTACTAGTGGCCAACATGTATTTACTGAACGAATAAACACAGAACAACAACTAGCATTTATTAAGCTCTCACTGTGTGGCAAGCAAGATATTTCCAAGAAAGAACTAACTCCTCTTTTTTGCTAAATTTAACTCCTGAACTCTTTAAAGGATTCTTACTCTTTTAATTATCCTCTCACTGTCTATCATTTTAATGTCTTTCTACTAAATTAGCCTTTGTCCTTTAAACATGTCCATATCTCATTTTTGTCCAAAACACCTTCACTTGTTACTGGCTCCTGCTTGTGAATCTGCGATCGCTCCCTCTCTCTGTCTCTCTCAGCCTCTGTCCTATTCTCCTCCTCTCCCCTTCTCTCCCAGTCATTCTAATTACAGTCAACGTTTAGAACCCTGTGGTCTTTAACTCACTGTTTCTATGTCCTTATTACAAAAGGCCTCATGTATTCTGGTCTCTATCCTCATACAGACCTAATCTAAGGACATTCAAATCTCCCTCTACCTGAAGTGGTCAACAACTTCTCCAATATGATACTCCAAGGCGGAACTCTCCAATATTGCAGAGAGAAAGGATGCCTTACAAGAGAGGTGAGGAGAGGATGCTTTGCAATTAGCAGATTGTTGCTATCTATTCTTTCTATATCCAACCATCTTATTCAATCCTTACAGTCTTCTAGAGCTGCTATTTTGACATGGCTGATCATTTGCTAATCTTCAACCCTCTCTCTTTGGTTTTTGGTACAGCAAACTCTCCAAATTATCTTCTTCCTAGTTTTTCACCTTTCTTATGCCTAGATATATGAAGGTCTAGAAAACCCAAAGAAAAATTCAACAGACAAAGAAAGATCTTTCATCCCTGTTTTTCATTAGATTTGGAATATTTTCTTCATTTGATTCTTCTTTCAATAAAAGCTTAAGATGAAATTTACTTTTCCCTTTGTGATTCTCCCTAATTATTATGGAAAAATTTGTTAATTTAAAAAATTAAATTTTTTGCCCTTTAAAACTATCAATAACCTATGGAGTGATACTCTGATAAGACTTTCCTATTCTACAATATCACATGTGATATTTGAATCCTATGTGATTTCTAAAAGCTAGAAAAGATTATACATGAAAAATCTAGTATTAGATCAATGTTAATTTCTCTACATTGCTTTTCTAACTCTCAAATGCAAAAGCAAGACAGGTTTCTATCCAGCACACAGGCATTTTCACAGGAGAACCAATATTGTCCTGGTCTATGTACTTCCAGTGCCGCAGGCAGGCCTCCTGAGACTTGCAGACAAAAACAAACTCAAATTTTCTCTCATGAGAATAGCCATGTATGAAAAAGAGTAGGCCTACACTACCCATCTACCAATGGGGAATATGAGAAGCAGGGGCTACACACAAATAGCTAAATGTACTTGCCACAGTTGCAATGAAAGAGGAAAGAAAAGTTTTTAAAGGTTTATTAAAATTCTCAGACAACATTCCAACATCATCTGTCATAAGAGTATGTTCAAGTCAAATTCACTGTCTGATGTGATGAAGGAAGTAATCATTAAGATTACGAATTTTCTTTGTGCTTATGCTTTTGCTACCATTTTATCGAAGACTTGGAAAAAACTAAATCAGATCGTTTGTTACAATGCCATGAGACAGCTAGGTCATGAAACATCTTTAAGAAATTACTGAGCTGCTTCCTCAGAACAAAGGATTTCTAGAAGGAAAAAGTCGTGAAGAACACAACCTTCTGAACACGAAACTTGTCACTAAATTGACAGGATTATACTTTCATATTTGAGTGGCAAGAAACCTACTCCCGATGAACCTGACATTTTAGGACTGCTCTGTAAAAGGAAGTTCCAGTATTCAGTTTCAAAAGGACATGTGGAAGAAGCAGATGGCAACTGAAGACTACACTTATTTCTTATTGCTAAAACAGCTCTGAGCACATGAAAGTCAGGTTTTGAAGAACTGTAGAGCTATCTGGTCGAAAATAAATCACAATTTTTAAAATGATTCATAGATTTTTGAGGCATATGAATTGTG